ACTGGGGTGTCTGGAGAGAGGGGAGGGGGCTTTCTTCCTTTCTCAAGTTCGTTTCTCCCTCTCAAAACTAGTTTAAAACGCAGATCCAGACAACCAAGAATTTTCCCGTATACCTGACCCCTACATATTATAATACAAGTGTCTTCGTCTATTATTTCGTATGCTATTTGAAGAGAAAAGCTACCCCCCCCCCCCCCCCCCACACACACACACACACACACACACACACACACACACTGCCATGAGTTGCTATGGGATGCACTAAGTAATAGCAACCTGACTGGAGACACAACCAAAGACAGCAGCGTACATTAGCAATCTTGTCCTTGATTGCCCATTTTAGGCCCAATTACCATTCCCAAATTGTCTGAATGTGAGCACAGCTTGAGTTAGTTTTATAGTGGGGAAAAATTCGGTGAGACATGGAATTAAGTTTTTGAAAGGTATTGATCTGGATGAATTTGTAGCCATTAAGGAATCAAATAAGATACTCCCTGATAGACTGGAGTTCATCTGATTAGCCGTAATGTGGGAGAAATTACAGGCTTTGTTACGGCAAGGAATGCAATCGACAATATTTTGACTGCCTTGTTCTGATGATTGTCTAGAGGACGTGGGTTTTGGGATATGCTTGTTGTTGCTCATTAAGTACACACTCATGTCAAATGGAAAGAGAAAACTGTCATGTGAATTGAATGATATCATATTGTTGGTGTAAATTAGTATGCGACACTTTGACAATTTGAAAGTCATTTTTGTAGATGAAATCGAAAACTTGACTAGTAGCACACATGTAATAAATGAGCCCATAATACAAGGTAGCAGTATTATTGAGTGGAATGAAGGCAATTAGTTTTATATGTTACACAGTGAATTGAGGTTTGTTTTTTTATGCTGGATTGATATGAACTTTACCGTATCATATATTTTGTAATGACTGTTGTGATTGTTAACATTCCCCAGATGATGGTGTTTTTGATGTGTTTGGGTTCAGAGTCCTCAAAACTAAGTCTACACATTTTTGTACTCACTGACTGAACACTGAAACAGTGTAATATCAACCTGAATAAGGGTTAGAAGTTGTGGAAATATAAAAAAGGAGAAAATAATCAAAATAAAAAAGAGAAAATAATGAAACAATATTTTTTGTGTTGTGAACTATGCCATGATGTAAGCTACGGGTAAACCCATGTTAAGCAATCGATATGTAGTTTCTCTGCTTTGTAAACCATTAAAGGAAAGAGTGACTAAGCTAAATAGGTTCTGTAACCTAATCAATACAGTCAATAAGATAGAATTCTCTGTTCACACTAGATGTGATATGGATAAGGCTAGTTTAGAAGTTTAGCATTCTCTTGTGAAATGTTTTATATCCCCCCACCACCATCATGGCTACTGACCTCCTTAGGTCACGAAGTACTTGAGACATTGTACCCAATTCTTCCACTGATTTCAGTCCAGTTATTAAAATCATGTTAGTACTCGTGTGTCTCGAAAATAGTGCAGAATAAGTCGAGTAGTAGTAAGTTTTGTACATAGATGAACAGAAGTGATGGGGTCTCTGTGCATGTTTGAACCCTTTCTGCACTTAATTTGCTTAAAGATCTTGGTTTTTGGTGACATTTGTAACATAAAAAAAAGTCTTTGCTTTATCCCTAGCTAACTGACATAACTTTATCAGTGTTCAAACCAAGGCCCAAATATTCTAAAATGAATTTTGAATCTCACTTGAATTTAGCTGGCTGATAATATTTTGTTATCCCAGTAAGTCTAAGATGATTCAGTGATGAATGCAGCCTGAGCTGTTATTACAAATAAGTGATATTGTCTAGAGAATTCAAGTGTCCTGAATTTCAATTCATTTCCACTTTCTGTATTTTCTGAGCATATAGACAGAGACTATCTAGAGTGGATGTGGAGAGCACTGTATAATAATTCTCAATCAAGTTTGTACTGAATTATTCACAGGATTTTCTGTGTAAATGGAAACCCTTTGAATACATATCAATATTCTTTAATTATACATCTTGCTTTTTGACCGCATCAGAACACATAATATCAATTTCTTATTGATTACAAAAATATATTTTGCAGCAAAAAAAGTGTATGAGATAATCTTTTGCGTTCCATAGTGGTTACTTAACTATAAATTGTACACTATTGTGTGTAAAAGAAAAAGATGGGGATAAAAACCCCCAGAAACATACAGAAGCTTTGCAAGTACATGCCAGAAAGTAAGAATAAGAGTAGTGGTGTTAAATGCTGGCTTTTTGGACAGTACGTGTCACAGAAAGTCTTGTGAACTTGTTTTAAAGAATTTTATTTATTTTTTCATGAAGTATCCAAAAGCCCTTTATCCATAAAATTACATAAAAATGTAGTGAAAGATTGAAGCAGTGTCTGCAGTGTAAACAAAGCATACAGGAAGTATTCTCCACCACAAACAAGGGTAAAAACAGAGCAGGAGTAGGATTGGGTTACTTTTAATTGGCCTGTAATGTTGATTCAGTGTAGTTTCCGACTCGCCAACTGTGCTGCGGCAATCAGTCACAATCATAGGATTATTATTTCCGCTGCCAGATATTGATATATGAGAACAAATTGTCCTGTCAGTTCCAAAATTGTCTCTGACTTTGCGTTGGTGGTAGGTAGATCTAATTCATCCAACCTGAAGAAACAGTTTTAATTGTTAAAACAATGAATCTTTGTTATTTTATCTAGTTGTTGACCTCATCACTGACTGTCAACTACTGTTGAAGACACAACGGCATATTTTTCATTATACCAAAAAGGCATTTTTTACCTGGATGGTTTTCTGCTAATACATCTTTGTGTTGGATGTTAGATTCAGATTCAAATGAAATTGCTGTTTAGCCTCAAATGCATGATTTTGATTAATATTCTTCTCTCACATGATAAGATTAATATATATACCTCCTTGTTTCCAACATACTCGTATAATTACCACCTCTTATTTATTCTACTCAATGCCAGGAGGGGGCATGTTAATCTGTTTAGCTGATTGCATTCAGCGAGAGTCCCCACAGAGTTGGATTGATCTAGGTAGACCAATAATTTCATTGGGAATGAGCCTGTAGACTATCCAGAACTGAAGAGCTGGGTTAATTTTGTTAGATTATTTAGTAAGAGACTACCTACCACAAATATCACCTTCAGCTAGGAACAGAGAGTGTTGTCTTTCTCAACATGTAAAAACATTCACAAGTAATTGGTATTCAATTGTGTGATGATTAGCAGTGTTATTGTCTCAGTTTTTACAGCTGTGATGTTTCAGTAGCTCTGTGTGCCCTAAGTGAAGAGTTAAAACCAACTTTCCAGACTGAAAATAATCTATATCATTTAAGAATTCAAAAGTCATGGTGCCATTCATTTCTAGTCACCTGGCAATTGATATATATATAACAGCTTGGCAATTCACCACCAGGAAAGAAGCTGCTACTTTGCTTTATGCTAATATAGTGTGACATCCAAACTAAAAGGAAAGCTAGAAAAAAAGAGTTAAAACAGCTCTTAGGCTGAACTTAACTGTCTTGGCTTTTAAGATCAATACTGAGCAATAAGTAAACCTTTGCTATATGCTGTCTGGAATTATCTGGGGAAATTCACATGGGCTGCTCTAGTTCAGTTTCTACTTTACTCAAAAATTTCCAACTTTCAATGGAAGTGGATTAATGGACATCACACAAGATAGCCTTGAGTCTTGCCTCTTAGTGTATAATCAATTGAGATTTCACAACAATACAGATTTGCCATGTTTTGCCCATGATTTTCTTCTTATTTTCTTTTTTTTTTTCATTTAATTTTGTAAAGTTGCTATTGATTTTGGCAAAAGAGTGATTTGGCCAAAACGTGATAAGTTAATTGACTAAAACATAGAGCATGAGCCAAGAATTAAGATCCAACTAAGATACTTGGGGCAGTGCGCCGCAAATTTTGCCCTTGTGACTGCTGCTGCCCTATCAGACATTGTCTGGAGTGACCACATCGGTGGAAATTTGGAGGTCCACCACCAGGCTATAAGTTTTTTTTTAAGAGTACATGAACCTACTAGATTTATCAAGGAAGATAGAATTGACGTGTTTACACACACACAAACACACACGCACACAAACACGTAAATTCTATCTACAAGTCTCCATGACCCCGCCCACAGACATCCATTTACTAGTATACCTCTCCTCTCTATTCGTGAATTACTATAAAAAGTATTAATTATGTCCTAGCATGTAATGTGTGTGGCTAGAGCCAGACGACATCAGTAAGGGCTTACTTGCTAGGGAAAACTGAATCCTGTTTATCTATGATGGGCCAAAACATTTACTAGTATCATGTTTTTTATTTAGTCTCAAAGTAAAGAATAATTGATTTATCAAGAAAAACTACTGTATACAAGTACTGTACTTTATATAAGCCTCTTATCTGTAGTGGGACATGTTGCTTAGTTGAAGTGTACATGGAAACAGTGACAGACTCACAGTATTAATGAATGATTGTGAGCAAGAGTCATGTTATCCAGGTTCTTTACTGCAAACACACACCGCATTACTGCCCATTGTACAGTTTATTTGACAGTTTGTGATTACAGTAGTGCTGGAGGAAATGTTACCCAGCGGATTGATCCTGGCACAGTGGTTTTGCAATGAATGACTGAATGTATGGATTTGATAGAGAAGAAATTACAGAATGCCAATACCAAATGACAGTTATTCTACATTTTTGCACTGTATTATCATTATGGTGAATTTCTTCTAAACAGCCCAACAATGACTTGGCATTTTGAGATCACTTTAGGGGATAAAATAGTAATAAAAATTCCAAGAAAATTTGCAGTAAAAAGGTTTCACTGATGGCTGTTGATTTTGAAAGACATCACGCTTATTTCCTCAGCACTTCGTGTTCTATGTTATTAGCAATATATGCCAGTTATCATAATCTTCATGATACTTTTTGATTAACAATATTATTATTGGTCTTTTCAGTATGAGTTCAAAGCCAAGGCCATCAAGAAGAAATCTGTAAATTTGGTGATAGGAACGGAAGGAGTGAAAGTAACCCTGAAGAAGAAGACATCTCGGGTATAAAACTTCAGCAACTTTTTGCATTTAATGATGCATTCTTGAACTAACGGAGCTTTCAATTTTTATTTGTTGTCAGCTAATTACTTGTATTTTGTTCTGTTCTTAAGTAATCTGTCATGACAAACCCATTTGCACAATCAATCATGACGCCCAAGGAAAACGCTAATCAACGCAGACACCTAAACACTTCATCTATCAAAATATTGATCATTCTGAAAGCATTATTATCTCCCTTGCCTAATTAAGTAGCTCAGCTGCATTATTGTCACATTCAACTCATTCTTTCCACATTCATTTCAAGGAGAAACTTAAGGTTTAGGAGAAGCAAATGGGTTTACAGCATGAGCAGCCAGGCACTCGTGTGGTGATTCACACACAGAGAAATACACACACACACACTCACACACACACACACACACTTTTCAATTTTCCCTAGTAAGTTTGATATTTTTGTCTGATATAATTATAGGAAGGAAGTCCCCTCCCCAGTTTTTAATTTTATCTCAGCATTTTTCACTCAATAAAAAAAAAACTTATTTCTGCTCTCTAGATAACTAAAAACTTCAAGGTCAAACATACTCTTTACACACTGACACTCAGCTGATGGCAACAGTTGAGCTTTCAATACCACAGCAAGGGCAGATTATGTGCACTGGAATCATTACTGAAACCTAACGGCTCGTTAAGCAAAATGTCAGATGTAGTGAAACACACAGTGGAAGTTATTAATAGTTGCTTTTCTACAGGTAGGTTTTCAGGCTTAATTTCATTCCTGTGGCTGATTGGACCTTTTCCAAGGAATGAAATAATCTGTATTCACACTGGTTTGAAGTTTTAACTCTTCAGAAGCTAAAGTGCGTCTTTGGGTAGCCAATTAGTAGTAGTAGTCTACTAAGATGAAGAAAATTTCTCTCCTCAGTAGACATACCATAAGCAGTTTTTATCCAACTTTGTCCGAAATGGACCCAATATCCACCCTTCTCTGGCACAGTGATGACAATTGTATTCTCTCCACACCCCTCCCCTCTCCTGCTAGATAATACTTTAATTTACACAGAGGCCCCTGCACTGTTGTATATATATATAGGAAAGAACTGTGGCTACAAATGGGATCTCTTTGGCAGACTACAGACTGTAGAGAGCCTCCACTTTACCTCACACAGCTACCCCCCCCCCTCCCCCCCAAAAAAAAGTACTTGGCTGGCTATCAGTACATTCAGATCCAAAACCATGTAAGTTGTCAAAGCATAAGCATACAGCATCATAAAAACATTTCAAAGTATAATTCCTTCCATACATCATGAAACCATTACCAGCTAGAATGATACTGCACTTGTATTGATGGATGGGGGTGTAATAATAACCAGCATTTCACCATCTCCACTGCTGTGTGATGTGATAAGGATTAAGTTAATAATGAAGTTATAGAGATGTTATGTGGACTGTCATTAGTTTGCTGATGTCAGGGAGGAGATGTATCATATATACTGTAATTGGCAAATACTGTAATGGCTTCTGACTGCCAGTCTGGGTTAAGTCGGGTTCTGTGCAGCTTAGTGGTTACAGAATGGGAGCTTACTAAACTATAAACCCTTTTTCAATAAGGTCCACAATTTCTTGTGTAGATATTTTATTTCTTCTTGGCATGGACATGTGAAATAGGGATGGATAGAAAGTTTGGGAACTGATGACTAACTTTCTGCAGAATCTTCTCACTTTAATTTTGGCAAATTTCCATTCACCACTTTTCCCATCTATTATTTGACAGAAATAGACAGAAGTTTATGACTTCTAGTATTTGAATTTTAATATCTCTCTCTCTCTCTCTCTCTCTCTCTCTCTCTCTCTCTCTCTCTCTCTCTCTCTCTCTCACACACACACACACACACACACACACACACACACACACACCCTTTTAGTTTTTTGTAGCAAGCCCACTGGCTGTAGTTTTTTTCTTAATGAGTTCTTATTCCTTTCCTTCCAGAGTAAAACCCAATACCCATGGGATGAGAGTAAACTCCTGGTGATGCATCATCCAATATACAGGTAAATATCCTCCTGGTAATACCTCACTGTGAGGAGGCAGGTAATACAGAGGATAGGGCAAGACTGTTATACCATGTGTTAGGATTGTTTATGGAAGGGGCCACATCAGAATTAAGTAAACTAAAAGCTTAGTTATGACAGGCAGTTTAGATTATGAATCTTGTTTTTAGAATGTAGATAACTCACCAAAGGTTTATGTAGTGATAATATAGATTTGTTTAAGATATACTCACATGCATACATAGACTCGTGCCTATATTTGGTACCATATTAAGTGATTTTAAAAACATTATTTAAAATGAGCTTACTATCTATAAAACTGCACTTTTAGACATCATAACTGTGTTTCATATGTTAAGATCTGATTCTCTGTTTTATTAATACTATTAATCTAAGATGTGTTCTTTACCCTAGGATCTTCTATGTGTCCCACGACTCCCAGGATTTGAAGATCTTCAGCTACATCGCCAGGGACGGCTCCACTAACGTCTTCAAGTGCAATGTCTTCAAAGCTTACAAGAAGGTGGGTCCAGGCCTACATTAATATCATAGGCTACTTGTTTTTAGAAATATATCCATTCATTTCATGACTTTTGGTGAGATAAGGTTGTTATAAGGCGATGATGTGTTTTTGAAGTGCCAAAACAGCATTTAATGTACAATTGCAGTTTGATGTGAAAATGATGCTGTATTATCGATAGATGATCTGTTCCAAATTAGTCATGATCAGTCCAAGATCATACTGAACATCTGAGGATAGAAATGATTATGCTACAAGGCATGTCATCAATTTGAAACTACCAACGTTAGAAAATGCCTCGTCTAAAACTGGTTTTATACTTAGATTTAATCAAGATAAAGAAGGTAACAGATTGCTGATCTGAGGCTTCTGACAGTTTGTATTCCTGGGATTCAGAAAAAAAGAGCATCCTTTTCCTCAGTCAAGGAAATGAGATGGAAAATCCTGATCTGGTTCAGTCCAGGATAAGTAGGACTGTTTAAAGATATAGGACTTATATCTTCATTTGAGTGGACGACTGCTGATTTATCTTTGGGCAAAATAGACTTAATTGTTTTTGTCTTCAGGGTTTCAACTTAAGACTTTATTTCTATAGTGTGCACAAGCATCTGATTCATTCAACAAGGACTTATGTATCTGAGGTATATTGAGGTGCATGCAATTGAGCTTTTGAAGATTCTTGTCTCAAGTAATCCTGGTCTGAGAAAATCTTGTAACAGGTCTGGTGGAATCCTATAACGACATCTTAGGTCTGAGGGGTTCTTATAACTGGTCTGAGTAAGTCTCATGGCCATCACTAATAGTGCTCCCTCTGGCGAGAACATTATGTTTATTGCCATCGAGAGGCATCATTAGACGTCTTCACCATGCAGATTAGATTAAAGGAAACTGGACATTTACTTAAACTGTTGTTCATCTGTGCATTTAGAGATCAATACCTTTCATTAAGCTTTTGAAGAAGATCAGCCTCTTAAATGAAGTGCATTGATGTTCTGTCTTAAAGTGGGGGGATCAGGAGATTAGGAAACACCATGTAGATTTTCTGGGAAAATGAGATTTTTTGAGTGTTTTCATCCAAAGTCCTTTCATGAATTGTGTGGATTGGTCCTTTGGTAAACTCACAGTAATAAAATTGGATTTTTGATTCTCTGTTAGTCCACTGTGCAGCAAATAGAAGCTGTCTACAGGCAAGCAGTTGTGAACTAAATAGTGCACTGCTTATAGGCCAGATATTCTGCCGTACAGCAAGGGGGTAGCAGTGCACTGTTTGTCTTACAAAGGGTACAAAAGAAAAAAGTTCAAGTTAACAGACCAAAACCTCCAGTTTAAAATAGAATGTGCATCAGAGAATTGACTGTCCATGTTTTGTACTAGAACTTTTTGAAAATTTGAAAACAACTGTTTTGAAAACATATTTTGTGAATATTAGCTATGCTGACAAAATTATACTTTGGTGGTTTGGGGTTGTCATAAAAAGAGTTTTGAAAAATAATTCAAAGGACCTGTTTTATTGTTTTCTAGCACATCTTATTGACTTGGTCAGTAACCTCTCTAATTTGTTGAAATGAAGTGGATTGTCACACTGATTGGGTTTGTGCGTGTTTGCGGGATATTGATTGTACAACTCCCAATCGTGCCAAACTTCACTGGTGGGGTTCAACACAAGAGACCTTGGAGCTGCTTATTTAAAAGTTAATAGAGTTCTTTAACTTGATGCATTTGGTATTGTGTCTTGATAAATGGTATTCTTGAGAGACCAAGTTAAATGTCATGACCACAGATGATGATTTCTAGTATATGAACAATTCACACTCAGATTTTTTTCACACCAAATGCCTGTTCTTTTGTAAGCACTGTTTTTAACAAGTGTCTGTCTAACCCTTGCTTGCCAAGGGCATTTTTTGAATACTTTCCATTTTCAGATTAATTGATTTATGTTGAAATTGCTTGGTCAATTTACACAGAGAAAAATGGAAAAAGAGGTTGCTATTCTCAGACTGGCATGCTGCACCTTTCTGACCTTGTCATGGTTGAATAAAAAACATAGTCTGTATCAGATAATGTTTGGCTCTTGGAATAGTAGATTCCATTAGGCACTTATCATGTTAAGGACATTTTGCAAAACTGAAGATTTGGGTTATATTGGGTAACTTATTGCATTATGTACATTTGGCAAAATGGAAAACTGTGCAGCTCCATTAGGCTGCCTAGCCAAGCATCCTTGGAAACTGAAGATAAATGCAGACAAAAGCTCAGACCATTGGGAAAAATCAATTCCCCGTCCACAAAAGTGTCTAAACAAGGTGTGAAATTCAATTTCCTTGTCACCACTTTGCCATCATTTTTGTTATCTGCACCAAGCTTTGTTGGGATGGGCCCTGCTACAGCTTTGAAAAAGAGATACTAGATGCATTTATGTTGTTTATTATCCCCATCTAGGGCCTTAGACTTAATTTTCTTTTTTAGTAAAGGTGGATGACAGATGTGGAGGTGTCCTGTGCATGGAGTGTGGGCATAGCTAAATGAGTTGTTTTCTGCTAATGGTTTTTGCACCTCTGTTTTTTAGTGAGGGATGAAAGACACATCTGTCTAGACAATTTGTAACACAAGTGTAAGACAGAAATTTTTGGCTTTCTGGAAAATTGAATGGTTCTTTCTTGATGGTGTAAAGGAAATTTGTGAAATGTAATTTAAAAGACAATTAAAACAAGAAAAGATTTGAAACATAGGTTAGAATTTCTTTCCTTTTGGGAGGGGGATCTTGCTTTCCAAATATTTTCTGTTTTCAGCTGGTGTCGGCTGTACAAAGTTAATACCAGTTGAATGAATTTAAACGACTAGTGGTCCACTTTCGCTATTTAGTTAATATTAAACCGGTTTTTGTATAGCTCCAGGAAGCCAGCTATATGATTGCACCCTATATGTAAGGGTTGAATTAGTTGGACCCAAATGTTCAATTACATTTAATGTGTCTACTAATAAAATTGGCCTATAACAGTTTTACGTAACCACTGGGAACCAAATATTGCTGGAATACCTTGAAATTCAGGATGACCAGGTCAAGCTTAATATACAGTGATGCTTTAAGCAGAAGATGAAAGAGGTAGACCATTGTTGTTGCTTAAAAGCCATGAGGCAATTTTGAGAAGTTTCATTGTGTGAACTATAGTTGAGTCTTCCCATTTCTTTTGTAAATAGACCTTTTTCTTCAGGTGGTTTGGGTTTGATGCTGGTGAGTTTTCTGCTTTGCCACTTCGCTGTGAACAGGAAAGATAGATGCTTACTGTGACCTGGTGGCTTTTTTTTCCACTTTTTTATTTGAAATTTATAAAGATTTGAGGTCTTGGGCCTAATGGAGCTTATGAGATTTCTGCATTTGAATAAAACTGCATGAAACTTTCTCATATTCCAATATCTTCTTTTCTCCACCAAAGGAGTATTTATTGTTCACATCCCTTTTTAATATTTATGCATATTTTTTTCACTTAACCCATTAGATTTTGTTCATGCAAGTTGTCAGAATCACATTTGGTTAGGAAGAGTTGACTGGCAAATGCACCCTGTCGCCTAGAAACCATTTAGTTCTGTGTTCAATAAAAGTTATATCCAGCACACAGAATTGGCTTTTTTAGACTCATGTTTCTATTCATGTCCTCGTAATTGACTTGAAGGTCTATTCAGACATTTAATCAGAATTCTCTGCTGCAAATGGTAATTTAGTGCAGAATTCAAGGATAAAGGGGCTTTTTATAGATCACAGAAATGTACCACTGTATATGAGATTTTGTTACTCAAGTAATTAAAATCCCTTTACTCCAGTAGTGGTGATTCAAACTGTATTTTGTGCTTGACCACATGGATAATATTTATGGACAAACACTTTCTCTGGACATATAGCCTTGACCATCACCTGTTATTGCCATTTGCATTGTCAACTTCAACTCTGTTTAACACCATAAAAGGAAACCCATGTTACTTACTATTTTCAACTTTTATAAAAAATATTCGTTGGACTCAATACTCCTTGAGTGGAAACCAGAATGATTCACATTACTTCTCTTGAAGTGTTTATACTTTTGATGGTTTAAGTACTTATTATCTCAAGAAAACCAGCTATTGGTATTTGTGAAATAGGTATACATGGGGAAGAGACCATCTTGGAAGTAGCACCAGTTGTGATTTCATGATGTGGTGAAGTAAGTCTGTTGAAATGATATTTGATTTATCAAAGACCTCAGTTCTTCCTGTTTGGCAATCACTAGTGAAATAAACAGGTAAATAAATGAATAATAATATGCCAGTTTATTATGATAAATTAATCACTTAATCTTTCAAGAAAAAAATTAATTTTTTTATTTCAGAGTCATGCTATGCGTATGGTTCGCACCATAGGGCAGGCATTTGAGGTGTGTCACAAGCTGAGCCTCCAGCAGGCAGCTAAGGAAGCAGAGGCCCTGGGAGATAATAACAGTGATAAATCTGATGAAATAACAACTACATTGAAGAGAAAAGGTAATTTTATTACTCAGCCTGAGATAACAATTGGTTAAAATCTAGTCATGCAAAAAGAATAAATGTAAAATCTTTTTTTCTTTTGTAAAGTTAGGCAGTGGCTAATATTGTCAGATATGCTTAGGGAATGACTAATAAAATTATCCATCAAATAATTGCCTAACTAGAAAAAAATGTTATATGTGCTTTGTAAAAAAAAAAGGTGCTGATATTTTTGCAGTGTAGGTCAGCCTTCTAGTAGGTAGTCCATATATCGGCAGATTTAATGCTTCTGTTTTGAAGAGGAATATAATCGGCTTATTTCTGAAGTGGTTGGGATTTTGAAAGATCAGATAATTCTCTTGCCTGCAGTTGAAGAGAAAAAGATGAGATATATACAAACAACTCACTAAGGATGTGCTTACATCCAATTTTTATTTTTACAATTAATGGCTAAATCCTAAATCCAGAATAGACGTCCCCCCC